TTAAAAATGTAAAGGTCACAAAACAACCTGAACAACCGATCTGTGTTCAAAAACAGATCTGTTGGTTGCTAAAGAGCAACAGCCAAGCCCTCTATACTTATCATACTCAATTTATCGGTTATAGTTAACACCATCAATTAGGTATATTTTTGTCCACACTTACACTCACACTTTTGGTTTGAACCGTACTTTACTGGTCCTGCTTTTGCTGTGCACCACCTTGCTATAGGGGTTCCCCAAGGCTCAGTATTGGGGCTTCTTTTCTTTGTCATATACACCACCTCAATGAGCCAGATAATCCAATCAGGATTGAGATGGCTTCTTCTACCATTTCTATGCCGATGATACCCAGCTCCATTTGTCATCCCCACCTAACAACCACAATATGAACTTTGGACTGTCTTTCAGGCACATTAAGATGGATGAAAGTCCTCCACCTCTAACTCATCTCCTGTCCTGACTAGGGTTGGGCATCAAGCATCGATTGGAACCGGTTCCAACTGTTAGTTTTTCCCAGAATCGTTCAAAGTTTTTTATTTCGATTCCTAGTTTCAATTTCTAGAATGCCGACAGAAGAGGAGTCCGCTGCCGATCTCCGTGAAAAATAAACGTGATCTGCAAATTGTGATCAACGCTTTTCAGAGCTGATCACACCAGCTGTCTGTGTGCAGCACCGTCCCCCCTCCCCCTACGGCCGTGCAGCGGCCAAATATAAACAAAAGTGTCTGCTGAACCTTTACTCTGTAATGTAAACTTTAACTCCTGCAGCGTAGAGGAAACTTGCTAAAATACGTCAACACAGTGGATTTAATAGAAGCTTTAAAGAACAAACTCTGGACGGTGTGAGGTGAGTTTATCTCACTGCGGAAATAGAAACACAAACGGAGCGTCAGCAGTCAGACGCAGCCAGCTACATTTAAGTTTCACTTTCTGTTGTGACTGAATGACTCCTGCAGCATGGAGGTGTAGTTCTCAGTCATTCTGGACATGATCATCCTGAGAGTTTTAGATGAAAACAGCTGGACATTTCTGGATATGTTGGAGACATTTAGCCTCTCATCCCAGAGGCTTCTTCCAGACTTTGGTCGTCGTCGCCGTCGTCTTCCTCCGCTTATTCGGGTCCGGGTCGCGGGGGCAGCATCTCGAATAGAGAGCTCCAGACCTTCCTCTCCTCGGCCACCTCCACCAGCTCCTCCGGCATGACCCCAAGGCGTTCCCAGACCAGATTGGAGATGTAACCTCTCCAAGGTGTCCTGGGTCGACCCGGGGGCCTCCTGCTGGCAGGACATGCCCGAAACACCTCCCCGGGGAGGCGTCCAGGAGGCATCCTGACCAGATGCCCAAACCACCTCAACTGGCTCCTTTCAATCCGGAGGAGCAGCGGTTCTACTCCGAGTCCCTCCCGAATGTCCGAGCTCCTCACCCTATCTCTAAGGCTAAGCCCAGCCTCCCCACAGAGGAAACTCATTTTGGCCGCTTGTATCCGCGATCTCGTTCTTTCGGTCATTACCCAAAGCTCATGACCATAGGTGAGGATTGGGACGTAGATCGACCGGTAAATTGAGAGCCTGGCTTTCTGGCTCAGCTCCCTCTTCCCCACGACAGATCGGGTCAGCGTCCGCATCACTGCAGATGCTGAACCAATCCGCCTGTCGATCTCCCGATCCCTCCTACCCTCACTCGTGAACAAGACCCCGAGATACTTAAACTCCTCCACTTGAGGTAGGACCTCTCCTCCGACCCGGAGTTGGCAAGCCACCCTTTTCCGGTCGTGGATGAAGGTAATTGTATAAATGGAGTTGGGAAAAGGTTTTGGAGACAAGGTGAGGAAATCAGGGTAGAACTGCTGCTCCAACATCTAAAGGAGTTTTTTCTGGCATCACTATAGGATGCCTTCTGGTCGCCTTCTCCAGGAGATTTCCCTTAAGGAGGAACCAAAAACTTCCTGTAGAGAAGGAAGGGGTGTGGAATGTCTGAGTTCCCATCCAGAATCTGTTATCTAACCTGGATGGATGGATGGATGGATGGATGGATGGATGGATGGATGGATGGATGGATGGATGGATGGATGGATGGATGGATGGATGGAGGGATGGAGGGATGGATGGAGGGATGGATGCAGGGACGGACGGATGGAATTTGATAGGCTACACCCTTTTTATATCTTTTTTATACTTTAACCACATTAATATTGTTTGGAACCTAATTTTAATTCATTCTAGACTTAAGTCATTATAAAGTTTGAACCCAGAATCGTGCCATCACATGTCAAAACAAACCAGTGTGTCAGCGACTAGATTAACTCAGAATGCTCTGTGTATGTTCAGATGACGATGTAACAAATAAAATCACACGATTGCACATTTACAATAATAAAAAGATTTGAAAATCCTCATCATGAGGAAAAAGCCAACACATGAATCTTTTATTTTGTCATGAGCAACATCTGGATGAAATCAGCCATTCATATGCGTGCTGTATGCAGTGATATATTGTCAAACATGAACACATTATGTTTCCCAGCTCCTTGAGAGCATAGATCCCACAGCTCCGCTGTCTCTCAAGGTTCCTCTCTGTCTGCTCAGGCTGAACCAAGGTCACCTGTGCCGCTCCAGGCTCCCTGCAACCTTGAGCGGCTAACTGACCGGGAAATGTGTGTTCTCCCGTTCCGCCTCCAACGTGCCTTTGTGTCAATCTCAAGAAACACAGCAGGGCTGTCATTAACTGTTCCAGCACGTTGTCTTTGGGACATTAGGACACTCCAATAGATTTTGTCTGAAAACAAAGGACATTCGCTCAAGGCCGCCGATGGAAAACAAAAGCAATGCTTGAATTTACAAGTTGTTGTAGCCTGAAATGCATCCGTTTTTTATGAAAGGCTGGAAATATTTGCCTGAGTGTCTGTGTTGAACCTTGTAAAGCCTCTGAAAGATCAGAATCCTTAAGATTTTTGTTCTTTTTACATCATAGTCACACATATCCTGTAGATAAACGTGTGACTCCTCTAATTAACAAGGCTACCTAGTAACAGCCTTTTAAATCAAAGCAAGTCATGGAGAGTGCAACAGGAATTAAAGCCACTATAGCGAGAGTGGATCTGGGTCCTTGGTTTTAATATAAAGTCTCCCAGCCTTGCCTCTGGTGTCCTCCGTGTTAAAAGCTCTTTTTGACAAGGAAATTACTTTATGAACCTTTGGAAAACACTCCAGTGTTTCAGCCTCCCTTTTAGCTTCACTGCTAGGTGATAAGAGAGACCGTGTTTTGTTTTTCATGTCACTTCAGGTTGCTTTTGGTGTTGTCTGCTCTTTTGTCACATCTCCTGCACCACTTGACCCTTTACGTTGAGAAAAAAGCCACTAATCAAAGAGATATTTGTCACGTTATTCAGAAAAAATGACGTATTTGTGAGCACAATTAGAAAAGAGGGTCAATAATTTACGTAACTTGCCAAATTTAGAAGTTTTGTGCATCAGTGCTGTGATGAGGGGAAGGAAACTGCTGCATGCAGCGTTACCTTCAGCCCTTTTAAACAATTCTGGTAAACAGCCTTTGCTGCAACAACAGGTCTGCTTTTCATTTGCCCAAGGTCTGTGGAAATCAGTTTATGTGAATGTGCTCTCACTGCCAGGGCTTGGCATTGGGTGAGTTGTGTTTATATGTAAGCATTTCTGTTTAGATCTGTAAGGACTCGCTTCTTTTTACCATTTACCTGGAATATTCAATCCGGAGAGCCGCAGAAATACCAAACATGTGGCTCTGTAGCCTTGAGACTTCACAGGGCTCCGACTGTGCAGCACTCAGCTCGGTAAACACAGTTTCCTCCTGTGGCTCTTTGTTTGGACAGGAAACAAGGAAGCAGATCAAACAGCGGCTCAGAAGGCCACGGCCAGACCGAGCTGGAACAGAGTCGCAGGTCTTTCAAAACTCTTTGAAAAAGAGGAGGGAGGGGGATAAATGTCACTTTAATGTGCAAATGCACCGGCTTGCAGCCCTGCTGAGTGTCCCATTTGTACAATCTGAGCAACATTTCCCCCTGATACATCATACAGCTTACAAGCAAACGTTGTAGCATTTGGTGTCCGACTGGCTGCCTGCTGCAGATTTACAGCCTGGTGACATGACGATCTGTGAGTACGCCGAGTGCAGAAGATAAGAAGCACTCACCAGATGGATGGATGGTGGCTGACCGAGGAGGAGGAGGGATAAAAGAAGTAGATGGGCAGAAAGTTTGTGTGTGTGTGTGTGTGTGTGTGTGTGTGTGTGTGTGTGTGTGTGTGTGTGTGTGTGTGTGTGTGTGTGTGTGTGTGTGTGTGTGTGTGTGTGTGTGTGTGTGTGTGTGTGTGTGTGTGTGTGTGTGTAGGTGTGTGTGTGCGTGTGTGTGTGTGTGTGTGTGTGTGTGTGTGTGTGTGTGTGTGTGTGTGTGTGTGTGTGTGTGTGTGTGTGTGTGTGTGTGTGTGTGTGAGGGAGAGGGTGTGAGGGTGCAGGCATGTGAGTTTGTTTGCATGTCTGTATGTTTTTTGGTGTGTGCATTTGTGTGCATGCGTGATGTGTGTTTACAGTTGTGTAGGTGTGAGCATGTCTGCACGTGTGTGTGTGTTTGTAGGTGTGTTTGTAGGTGTGTGAGGGTGTGTGTGTGTGTGTGTGCGCGCGCGTGTGTGTGTGTGTGTTTGTAGGTGTGTGAGGGTGTGTGTGTGTGTGTGTGCGCGCGCGTGTGTGTGTGTGTGTTTGTAGGTGTGTTTGTAGGTGTGTGAGGGTGTGTGTGTGTGCGTGTGTGTGTGTGTGTGTGTGTGTGTGTGTGTGTGTGTGTGTGTGTGTAGGTGTGTGTGTGTGTGTGTGTGTGTGTGTGTGTGTGTGTGTGTGTGTGTGTGTGTGTGTGTGTGTGTGTGTGTGTGTGTGTGTGTGTGTGTGTGTGTGTGTGTGTGTGTGTGTGTGTGTGTGTGTGTGTGTGTGTGTTTTCTGGTCTAAAATTAAGGTTCTTTTTTAAAAAGAGGAAATACCAGTTTCGGGTTTCAGTTCTTATTTATTGACTCAGAAATAAAAACAGACACAACACATTGTGTTTACTGTCTGTTTACATGAAGATATCCAAAAAGATTAAGTTTTGTAATAACTGTGAGTTTTTGTGTTTACTCCGGTTTACTGTCTGTCAGCTGCTCCCTGGATGCTTCACTTGAAATCTGGAGGAAGGGGGTGCTGATCTCACCAGACTGTAGGTCACTGGCCACCCGCAGCAGGCAGCTCAGGACCATGTCCTTAGCCAGACCGGCCTCCAGGTTTCCCTCCCGACTCAGCTGAAGCGTGATCTGGTCGACGCTCGTCAGAACCAGCTCTGAGCCCAGAAGAGGGCAAATGATGCCAGCATCCGCATTTGAACCTGGGGCCTTTTCTCTCACCATGTTCTCCATCATGTACTGCTGGTACAGATCCAGGATCTTTTGCTCCAGGTAGTGGTTCAAGAGGGAGTTGGAGAAAGGACCCTCACGGCCCTGGAACAGAAAGCTCCGATCACGGCCGCTTCCCTGTCGCCAGTGGCTCGTTCCCCTCCTCAGCAGAGACAGAGGACCACCCTGGGAGGCTTGTCCTGAGAGGGAGTCCTCCACAGCTGGAGGGACGTCACATGATTGAAGGAAAGGACCTACAGCCTGAGCTTCATTACAAACCCGGAGCTCTCCTTCAGCAGCAGAGACAGGCAGAACCTGTTCACCTCCAATATGAAGGTCGCTGTAGTTTTCACAGATGCTCTGGCAGAAAGTGGGAACCAAAAAGGGAGTGTCACCCCCTGAGTGCGCCTGGTCAGGGATTTCTATCTCTGGAGATATCTGCCTGCCCACGTAATTTCCCTGGACGTTAAAGGACTGCAGAGGAGAGTTGTATAAGTCTGCCGAATCACTTGTGTCGTCAGTGTGATCTGTTTGCATCGAGAAGCAGTGATGAACAAGTGGAGAAGGGCCGTGGGAGTTTGTTATGAGAGAGGATTCATGAGAGCTGTGGAAAACCTGAGTGGGTCTGATGTCCACCTCCTCCACCTCCCCATAGGCCATGCTCAGCAGTGTCCCTTCACAAAGCATGGCTGTAAGAAAAACACATACTCAGGAGGTGAAGGATGGACCAATAATCTGCTGTTTTCTGACATTAAATAAAAAAATTCTAACTAAGTATGATCAAGAACAGACAGATAGTTCAAAAGGTCTTACCAGTTATTTGAACAACCTCAGTTGGGATAAATGTGGATTAGTTCTGACTGCACTCATGAGCTAATGACTATTCTGAATGGTGCAAATACCAAAGTAGATTACTGCCGTTTCTAAGATTACCAAGTGCTTCATGCAATTGCTGTTTTATGGTTTACATCACTGTTTTTGAAAGTGTTTCCTGCAGAAATTTTATTTTCTTGCTGAGAATTAACCAGGCTGCACAGAACATGTTGCAGCAAGCTGCAGTTCATGTTTATGCCTGCTAATAACCACGTTAATCATTATAAATTATTTAAAAGAATACTAAGCAGTTTGGGCTTGCTTTTAGCACCCCTAGTGTCTGTTAATGAAACCAAAATTGAAACATATCTCCTCATTGTGCGTTTGTCTTTTTAACACCTTAACCTAGCTGTTGAAATGTCTCCTCAGTCTTCATTAGTTTCTGCAAGAGCGATTCATCACTAAATCAAACAAATCGGCTGTGTTCGCAATCTAAAACATGCAGGAAACTAGCTGGAAAAAGACTGCAGCACCAGGCATGTCATCTCAACTTTATTAAATCCAGCAGAGACCAGACTGGTACTCTGAATTTCAAGTGCGGTATTCTGGCCACAGAGGGCAGGTCAATGATTAGCCCTGCTTTTCATTAACCCTGTAAAACAGGGCTAATCATGTTCGGGCCTTGAGGGCCAGTATCCAGCATGTTTTGGTTTTAAACCTACTTCAACTCACCTGATTTCAATTGGTGTGTGATCAACAGGCTTCTGAAGAGCCTGCACAGGTTATTCGACCACTGAATCTAGTGTGCTGGACCAGAGAAACCACTAAAATGTGCTGGACACCGGCCCTCGACGCCTGGATTTGAATAGCCCCGCTGTAAAGGGTCATTTTGGCACCTACTGGCTCAAGAATATGGCTTTAAACAGCAATGTAAAGGTTGATAAAGTAGTGACTTTTGTATTCAGATATGTCTTGACCCAAAATGTGCTGTCTAGTTTTTTTTTTTTTTTTTTTTTTTTTGTGACAATTTATACTTTTGCCTCTTTCTAACCTTTTTGGCCACTGCTGAGTTTTAAGATAGCAAATTTTCATTATGGTCTTTGTTTCATTCAGACTAGCTGTTAGCTCATCAATACAGTCCTAAATGAACTCTGTTTCTCCAAACTGAGGCTGCTCAAATAACCAATAGCATGACTGTTCAAAATATCTGAAGTCATTCAACATCACCAGTTCAGAGTGCAGAAACAACTGAACAATAAAGTTACTATAAAGCAGATAAAATGGTGGCATTAAAAAACTGAATAAAAATAAATGATTCAGAGTTCATCACAAAATCACAGGTGAAACATTTTCCTACCTTTTATCTGAGTCACCTTCTTAAGATCAGATTATATTTTGTATTTGGATGCTAAACGCCCGTCCGCACGGTTCTGTTGTAACGTTTAGATCCTCCAGCTGCATTTTCTTTCCACAGCCTGAGAATAAGACTGTGTGTGGTGAGTCACTGCTGCTTTATGCAACCCAGCAGAGGAAGTGGAAATGGGTTTTTTTGTTCCCACAAACTAATTGATTCATCTGCTCTAAACCTGAATAAACCAACTCAGATTTGAATTTATTCCACTATTAGATACACTGATTTATTAGACTTATAATTATGTCATTTAATCAGAAAAACAAAAGACAAAAAATATAAACCCACCTCTGACTTTACTTCTTCGCTTGTAAAATGAACTTAAACTGTTCAGAAGAAACCAGCTGTGAATAGGAATCACGAATGACTTGCTTCTATTTAAAAGAAACAGGTGTCAAAGCACAAAACAAAACTCATATTTAACAAAGGAATGATCACAAAATGAAAAGAGGGAACTTTATTTTTTCACTTCATTTTCTGAAAGGTGAAAAACAGCTTTAATTAACATGAAAACAGATGAATAAAGCACATTTCAACCCAACAAAATTAAGTTTAGAGCTTGGAATTTTTTAATGCTGTGTTCACACTAAAACAGAATGTTTGGTGCCTATAAAGTCACGGTTTCTCCCTATAACTGCCTGCATTAGAAATGGGTTTTAAATCTGAACATGCCTGGCTTTATTTTAGCTCTTAAGCACAATAATCATCAGATTATTTAGTTAAAGAGCAAATAAATGAGCCTAAATGAGGTGACGTTGACTCTGCATTTTTATGCTTTTCATAGATGGTAAAAGTAAAAGTCTGTCATCTTCATAGGTAACTAGCTCCTTTGTTAACTTCCTCCTCTTGTGATAGAAGAGCTCAATGACAGCGGGGGAGTGAAACCAAAGAGAAGATGATTTATTATTGATTAGGAGACAAAACCTTAGAGCCATCATCAAATAGACCCATACGTCTGTTCTGACTGTCAGGCTTTTTATGCTTTTATTTGGAGAGCTTTATCCTTGTTAACATGTGAAATGGAAAAGTTTTAAGATCCTAAAAAGTTTCTGCATGACTGATTTTCTGTAGTATTTATTTTTTCTATGTAAAAGGTAATATATGTATATTTATGAGAACATGAAGAGAAGGTGTTTACTTATAGTTTGCTGGATACCTTGTTTTTGTCCACTCAGTGGTCCCGTACTGGTACGAGTTGGGACTGTGTAATGATAGCAGCACGGGTAGAGTTACTGCTCCGTTGCTGAGCAACATACATTAACATGAAAGACACACTGAGATCAGGTTAGACACCTGTTTGAGAACAGCTTTTGTCTTAGAGCCTGATCTGGGCAGGAGTTTGGAGGTTTCAGCACCCTGGACAGCGTCTGATCCTGGGAAAAAGCTTCAGTGAAGACTTAAATTGCCAGTTTGCTGATTTTATCGTGGATGGGGGATTCTCACGTGTCATGGACTACACAAACAGGCGTGAGACTATGATAAAGTCCACTTAGAGGGATGTTCAGGAAGATCAACAATGTGTTTCGTCCCAACCATCATGGACACAGAGGGCGAGGTAATGGTGGTGGTGACGGTGGGCTTCGGGACGGACAGGACTACCATAGCGCCTGCACCGTCAGGCTGGTCCGCAGCACCTCCATGCTGGTGGTGGGAGAGAAAACTCAGACAGCCGAGGGCTCCACTTTAAAACGAAGCAAGAGCACAGTGAGCATTGAGTCCACTTTGTATTATTATCAGAGACAGGAAGACAGGATATGGCTGTATTCACAGAACCAGAACTGCCTGGAGTACCTGGAAGCACTTATGGCTCTCAGGAGGCAGTACACACAAAGTGTGAGTAACTTGAAAAGTAACGAGGCCAAGGCCACCGTTTCTTCAAAGAAGAAGAAACCGGCACCCTCACCGCCTACAAGAGAAGAACAGGTAAGATTAAATGTTTCTATCACAGAAAGGAGGATCAAATCTACCATTCTGCCACTTTTAATCACAGATGTCAAGAACTAAACCTTCACCACCTCCTGCCTCCAGAGAGGAGGACACCTTGCAGTTCTTTGATGAGGTCATTGCCAGCTGTGACGAGTCTCTGCGCAAACCTTACAAGGATGATGGCAATGCAGATGTAGATTTCATTGGTGAGTTTGGAATTAAAAATCAAGAGTTTAGACATAAAATGGGTAGACTTTGTTATGTTGCAGCCATTTGCTAAAATCACTTAAATTCATTTATTTCCTCACACACAGCACCCCATATTGACAGAAAAACACGAGTTATTAAAAAAGGTAAAACTTAAATATCACAGGGTCCTCAATATTCAGGCCCTTTGCTCGGTTTAGTAGAAGCACCCTTCTGAGCTAATACAGCCATGAGTCTTTTTGGTAAAGATGCAACTTGTTTCTTACACCTGGATTTGGGAATCCTCTGTCATTCCTCCTTGCAGATCCTCTCCAGTTCTGTCAGGTTAGATGGTGAACATTGGTAGACGGCCATTTTTAGGTCTCTCCAGAGATGCTTAATTGGGTTTAAGTCAGGGCTCTGGCTGGGCCATTCAAGAACGGTCACAGAGTTGCCGTGCAGCCACTTCTTTGTTATTTCAACTGTGTGCTTGGGGTCATTGCCCAGTCTGAGGTCCTGAGCACTCTGGAGAAGGTTCTTGTCTGATAATCCGAACAAAATAAATGTAATTCATTTTAGTAAATGGCTGCAATATAAGAAAGAGTGAAAAACTGACAAGGGTTTGAATACTTTTCGTACCCACTGTGTGTAAATAACATATTTGGGTTTGTTAAAGTTTATGTTTATTTTAATTAGTTTTGTTTACATCTAAGGATGGGAATGTACTTGCTTCTTAAGCTCGTGGTGACACAGGCAGCAGGCTGTGTCTTGTACACATACTTGATGCTGCACTGAGTGTCGTACTGGATGATTCCGCTAGGGGCGACGTACAGAACTCAGAGCAGATTGTGCCGGTGTCGTAGCAAAGTAGTCATCCTGGGTAGAATTTGTTTTCCTTGCGTCAGGTGCTGGTATTATGTCGATTCGAGTTCCCCCTCTCAGAAAAAAATGACCCTCACCCTAATGCTTACTCTAACCATAACCACTCAGTCACCCAAAATGAATGTGTTGCACAATTATAATTTATGAAATTACTCTGTGTGGGATGATTTTTATGTTTGTTATAGGGTTATAATTAGGGTAAAGGTTAGGGTAAGGGTTAGGTTAGGACCATTGACATATATACTGGACAATTCGTTTCCATAGCCTCCAATAATACGTTTTTAAGCCAAAATGAGAGGTGGCCACCACCGCCATTTTGACCGTGTCACAGGTTCCGTCAAGCCCAGACAATTCCAAAAAAGGGAAGAGAGGTGGAGCTGAGGGTGGGGCTGTAAGGCTGGGATCAAATGATGACACCCGTCGAACTGAAGCAATGTAGCTAAAAGCTAACCCAAAGCTAGCGCAGAGGTGGGAGCTAAGCTAACGGAGGTAGCTACATAGCTACAACCGGAGTTAACTGTGCACAACACCGGAGCTTCTGAGTCACAGATACGCCGGGCAGACAAGCGCCGCTACGATCAGAGATGCGCCGAGCTGCGGGGAGGGGAGAGACGGGTGGAAAACATCGGTCTCCCGAGAGCTCCACAAGCCGATAGTCGGAACCCAGCTCCACCAACATGTTATATTTCAACCCATTTTCTAAAGTGCAGCATTATGTTAAATGCACTGGGTTTTACCCTATTACATTTAAATTTCATGGTTAAACAGTACATGTTAAAATCTAAGCTTAGCTCGGCAGTGACCTAAAATACACAAATATAATTTTACTTACCGAAAAAAATGAAGTGAAGAAGAAGAAGAAAATATCATTCCTATAGCGCCTCAAGATAAAAAATCACGAGGCGCTTCACAAAAACAAAAAATATAAAAATTTTACCATCCAAAAACAATATTATGCTACATTAAATTGACACTGGTTGAGCTCTAGGACCAAGTGGAAAACAACCGTTTGTGTTGAAGTCTGTTTCCCATTAGAGCATACTGTAAAGATCCCCCCCCCCCCCCCCCCCCCGTCCCCTCCACTTCTAAAGTGAAAATTACGTCCATGCTATGTACTCCCCTTACCAGTTACTCGCATATTGCATTACTTTCAGAGGACGCTAACAAAACAAGTGACACGAAGCAGCCATGATATACTACATGCGTATTCGTGATTAAAAGGAAGTATATTCTTAGCCTAACTCAAGAGTTTGTTGAATCTTTTCACACACATTTATGAGCAGGTTTAGATTTAGGCTTGGATCGGTTTCTGGTTCTTAGGTTAAACAGATTAGCTGAAGTATTTTTAATTTATTATTGAATGAAACATCGGTTACATTTGATCACAGCTGTTCAAGACAGACATCGTCTTAGTTTAACCAAATCCGAATAAAACAAATCAAACCCAGCTCTAGTTAAAAAGTGGATTTGGCCCAAAAAGATCCCGCGATCAAATCAGGATGTTACAAAAGTAATTCTTAGTCAACACTTTCACAGATAAACATATTCAGGATTTTTTCATATTCTTTCAACAAACTTTTTTTTTCAGTGTAACGTTGTTTCTAGACCAGGAGTGTCAAATATGCGGCCCGCGGGCCGGATCCGGCCCACAATCAGGTTAAATCCGGCCCGCGAGATGGTTGTGTAAACTTTATTTTCATACTTTACAATGTAGAGTGAAAATAAACTTATCTTTGTGAGCAAGTTTTCTCTGTAATGAGTATAAATAAAACAAAGCTGCGCTCAAGGCTCACACAAGAACTTGAATCACATCCTGAAGTTGGCTGCCACTCAGGATGTGACTTCTGATATTGATGTGCAGGTGAAAGCTAAAAGATGTAAAGTTAAATGAGTCAAATATACTTTAAGTGCTGCATGAAACTGATCTAGCCATGTGATCTGTAAGCTCTTTGAATCACTAAGGAATGTTTTTTTATTGATTGATTTTTTTAATTTTTTTTTTTTTCAAGTACACTTCAGGTGTTGTTCTTGTACTATTTTGGATACACTGTCCTCAGGCTCCAGCCTTGTTTTATGTTGATTGTGTTAAAACAAAGAAAACAATCTGAAGTTGTTTTTAATTTACCGGTCCGGCCCACTTGGGACTAGATTTCCCTCAATGTGGCCCCTGAGCTAAAATGAGTTTGACACCTCTGTTCTAGACACTTGATCAAAATATGGATGTTTTAGATGTAATTTTAATCTAAATGGCTCTTAACCTAATGAGGTAGGGTGGAGACATGAGGGCCCGGGCGGAATTCGATACCAAGACTCCCGGGTGAGAGTCATACGCTCTAACCAGTCAGCCAAAGGGACGTTCCCTTGACCAAGTAGCCAGGGCGCATCATCAATCGGGACATTGTGACAGGACGCTCACATTGCCACACTAACATTGTCAGATAAAATCTGAAAGCTTCCTGCAATACCTTAAACTATATCACACATTATTTATCAAAACATTATGACTAGACCCGTATTAACATCAACTCTAAGGAATTACACGCTGGGTTTGCAGGATATTTTAGAAACAAAGAATAATACTTGTGCTTGCAACAGTATTTACATTTCTACCCGTGTTAAATTATGCATTGAGTAGAAAGTTACTGAGTGCACTCCAGACTGTGCAATGATGATGCAGCACTTGTTCTTTTCTCAACAAACTAAATCAAAACTACAATTCCGGTTTTACCCTGCAAAGGTAAGTTTTAGCTGCAATTAAAACCCTGATTAGTAATTATTCCAGCAAAGAAATCATGTTAATGAGGACTCAGCATCCATCAAGGTCAGAACTGGTATGTGGACAGATCAGCTGTAATCATTACAATAATACGACCTTTTAATCTGGAGGATAAGACGTTCTCCCAGTCTGAATTTGGTTTTAATTACTGCAAACTACAATAAAAGGCCTCTTAGAATTTGTAATAAAACAAGTCTTCCTTAGTTTATTTTTTATACAACTGCAGGTTTTATCATTTCAGCTCATTTGTTTTGCATCTACAGTGCAGTTTACTTTTCTATAGCGCCGAAATACAAACCACAACAAAGTTAAAATGAATCAGAAAACTGATTACTTTTAGGAAAATATTAACTTTCCTGATCTCAAAAAGTTTAAAAAGGTGTTTCTGACATGTTTGGTAACTTACATTTTGTTTTTGCTGCATTTTGTTTAGTTTTAAATGTTTCTGAGATCTTGTTTTCCCTCATTCTAGTTGTCTATTGTCCCTATTTAACATGTTTTAAGCTACATGTCAGTAATACATTTTTTTAATCCTTTTGTGATTTTTAGTTTGACGGAGTGTCTTGTATCTCAGTAAATCTGGATTTCATACAGTCTTGTTCACAAGTCAGTTTAAATGAGAACCAGTGTGAACGTCCAGTCTCATCTCAGATCTTTGTGCTCTGCCATCCTGCCACAGTGGCCTCCAGCTCGGCCGAACACGACCTCCACTCCAACTGGGTCTTGAGGGTTCCCCGGGTCCCAGACGAGTCCGGACCACAAGTGGTTCCTGCCCGTGCCAACGAAAAGGTCTCAAAGAAGAAAAACCAGAACGGGTCCACTAGCAGCAGACTGCGACTACAGAGGAACCCAATCCACCTGCCCAAGGTGGTGGAGAGTGCATTCCAGACGCTGCGCTTCAAGCCCAAATTAAAAAAGCAGTGAAGTTTGATGGGACATTTGAAACCAGCGGCGCTCAGAATGGAACGTTTGATCAGAAGTTTAACCTGCAAGTCAATTTAAACCAGTTGGAACTTCAGTTCTTAGAGGTGAGCAGAAATGTTACCTCGTTATGAAACACGGAGGATTAACATTAATAATAAATCCATGATCCTGACCATGAGTCAGCATTCAGCTTCTCTCCTTGAAACAAGCAGGTAGAGCTCACTTATCCTTTGGAATAACTTCTTCTAAAAAAAACGTATTCCTCTGAGTTTGGACGGTAGCAGGGCGGCAACGTAAGAATCATCAGTCCTCCCTGACATCTGAAGATTACTTTGACCAGACTGTTAATAGAATTCCTTTCAAGACGCCTTTTGGATTGAACTGAGTAAGAGAAACGTTTGGTTTTGTGATAAATACAAACTCTCGGCTGATTCCCAGTTTAAAGTTCAGGCCCTGAGAGCCTGCCTTCCCTCCAGGTATCAAAGACGGCTACAAAAAGCAACAATGGCTCATTCAAGCTCAAAGTCAAAGATTTCGGCATGAATATCCGTCTGGTCGGGAGCGTTCCGTCGAGGCCGAGTTCAAGGCCCGAGAAGCGTGAAAAGCTCCAGAACCGGCTAAACTTTGTCACTAATCCCCGCTGAAGGAGAGGCGAACTCCGCTTCAGTAGCTATCCTCCGAGTTATTCAGCTCACCAATAAGGGAAAATAGCTCTGAGTAATCATGGAGCCGATTAAAGCCGTAATGATGAATTTTTCCTTGAAATAAAGTCAAATAGAGACAGCATGGCTGGTGTGTTTTCTCCTTATTACAAAAACATTGAAAGAACACAAAAGACACAGGAAAGACACAGAACTATTCATTTCTTGTCCGCTTTCGCCTTCGGGCTGAAGAACGAAGACATGGGCTTCATGCCGGTCTTGTCCACCTTTGCCAGACTTTTCTGTGCAGCAGACATCTTCTTGGGTGGCTGAAAATAAAAAGAAACAACAACAAAATAAATCAATGGAACTCAAAGACCTTGCCCAAAGAAAGCAGAAAATTCTTTACATGTGTGATCTTGATGAATAATGAACTGTTTCCACGAGCTAAGCCCCCCCACCCCCAGTTCGTGTTTATGCTCGGCACACAAAGCTTAAAAGAAGCGGACAAAAATCACTGAAGGCGCTGCAGAAAATAACAGAAGAGGACGTGGTAATATAAATAAAACAGCCTCTGATTGCACGGGATGCCCTGCAAACACTCACTTTGCGTGTAAAATCTGCACTGTTGAATTTGGTGTAGTCCTCTCCAGCTTCCACCGGCTTGTCTGAAAGTTTCCGCTTCTGCCAAACGAGGAAGTAAGAGATGCTTTTCATGACAATCAGAGCGCCAAAAAACACCAGATATCCTCCCTCGCCAGAACTACCGACCTCACAATGACAACAGTTGAAGAAAGAAAACCACACAAGGCATGATTAGAGGAAGTGTTCCGTTAAAAGCGTGAATTTTTAGAGCAGTGTGGAGGACGTGACAGAAAGGCTGCCGCGGATTTAGCTTCATGCAGAACAGAGAAGTGAGAGCTCAACCACAATGATAAACTAACATACCTTAGAGGGAGGCTCCGATTCATTTGGACTTTTGAGTTCTGCTAACCTGTGGAGCACAGACAAGTGAAAATCAGACCTGATGTGCTAATTTAATGTTCCTTTTTATGAGTGCAATTTACCCCAAGTGTGTGAGGAGAGCTTTGCTTGTGTCTTCACTGATGTACTCTGATATCAGGCCGTGAGCGTAGCGTACAAAGTCCTCTGCACCATGAAGACGGTAACAAATAACAATATAAACCCTGACTAACCTTTTAAACGCTTGCTGAGAAAATCTGATTAAACCAAAACAACAAAAATAAAAAACACCACTACTGCCATCTACAGGTGTTTATCCGTATCTGCAGTCTAGTTGAATTTTAGCTGCTTCTTTACCCTGCTGGTCCTCCGACATGGGCTTGACTCGGACATACGTGGATGATTTTACTCCTTCTCCCACACACACGTTTCTCTTCTTCAGAGCAGCAACTGTCTTGTCCACCTACAACAACAAACAACCACAATCAATTGTGCAGAATGTGTTTACTGTGTTGCAGCTTTGAAATCCCGTCCAGTCTTCACCTTCTTTTTTAACCAGCTCATGGTTCGTTCCTGACTGTATCGATGAAACTTCTGGCCACCCACCTCTGGATGTAAGAAACAGCTAATAAGCAACGCTTATAACAGAACGCCGCAGCCGACTGTTATCCAAACACACAAAGAAACGTCACCCTTCTCCTCGGAAATGTGGTGCATGCTGGAGAGGGAGCGCGTGCAGCTGAGCAGCCTGGAGCATGCTGGGAACTCCTCGTCCTTTACTATTTGATCTACAGGCTGGAACTTCCCCTGGGAGAAAAAAAAACATTAAAACAACTAATAAAAATCTGGTTTCATTCATTCTCTTTGACTTCTGACTAAATTATTACAAATTAAGAAGTTCTCAGAAAAAATGAACTCCAACAGAAGTGACAGAGAAGCATCCTGCAGGTGGCGCCGTTGTAAGGTGTATTTTTTTAACGTTGCTTAAATTCTTGCATTTTGTTTTACTAACATATCATAAAAGTCTGTAGAAAAGTACTGCTCAACTAAAATGTACACCATACAGGCGACAGATGACAATCAAGGAGTCAAAAACAATAATTTAGATCTAAAAGATGTGAATAAAACATGACTGAAGGAGTTAAACATCCTCATCTTACCTCTTTGCCAGCTTGGATCATATAAGGCAAAATTAGATAGAGAGGATCCATTGGGGTAACGAAGATGAGTCTTCCATCTGTTAAAATACAGAGAAAAATAAACAAATATATTAAAATTATTAGAGCTGTAGCGGAGTCGATGACGTCGATGCTCGATTCTAAAAATTTGTCGATGTCAGATCCGGTAGTCGACGCACCACGCCCACTTGTTGCATCCCCAGGAGTTTGTAAATAAGAGGAGGAACCTGAAAGTTTTTCCTCCTCTAGTTCACCCTCTTCTCCGCCTTCACTAACATCTCCACCAAATACTGAAGACCCGGAACAATGTCCGTCCGCAAATAGATTCCTTTCCTGTTTTGCCCGCCTTCGTCTCCCGGCAATGGACCACAACTTCCGGGGTCAGATGCGCTGCTTCGTCTCTATCGCAGATGTAGAAAATCACCGGGAGCGTTTCTCCCTTCATAAAGGAGCTTCTTTCAGCTGGGTGTTTTTGGTTTATTTAAATTTGGTAACTTGAACTTAACGTTGGTAAAGCCAGTTAGCATTTTCGCTAACAGCTTCTTGCATTTGGATAAGCTGTTATGTTTTGGTTTAGAGTTCATCTTTTTTGTGGTGTAGATCTTCCTTTTATTACATTTAGAGTGTTGTGGGTTTCGGTTTAGTTTAAAATATCACCTTGAGTCTGGTTTAACCACCCAGTTTAGAGTTTGGACCTTTGGAGATCCTTATTTTGGTCCAGAACCCAGTAATCTTTGCCCAGTGGGACATCCCTACTTATTTGTACTTTTGTTTTAATTCCCCACAGGCAGAATTAGTTTTATTATTCCCAACCTGTGGATGGAGAGATTTATGTTTTTTTGTAGTTGTAAATAAACCTGATCATCATTTTAACTTTTAAATCCCGTTATTGTCCCTTCCTTTTTGCACACGAGCCAAACTCCTCAGGAAGAGTCGTAACACCACTCCCCTCCCGCACATAAGTGACCAAAACAAAGCAGCATGGAGACAGTCCGGCTCCAGCCACCTCTCAGGCAGCAGCCTGCACTCCCAAGTTCTACACGTCACCAGAACATAACCAATAAACACAGTGTTATACAAAATGGAAGGTCTGTAGTGTTTATTCTCTTACAGTAACAATTTATCAACTTTTTGGAGGAATTTGAGATTTTCTTGTTTTTATTAATCGTGCAATAAAAAAATAATCGTTAGATTAATCATCTTAATAGCAATTAGAATAGTCGACTAATCGATAAAATAATCGTCATAATAATCGTTTAAAAAATAATCGTTTATCCCCAGCCCTAAAAATTATACATGTGAGTAACAAGATACCTGTATTATTTACCATTTAAAGAGTTCAGCATCAGCTTTTCAGACCTGGTGGCATGTAGTGTTTGATACAATACTTTAGATCATTTCTAAATGATAATTTGAACTCTGAACCTTTAAGTGCACTGACGTGAAAGCTGACTGCAAACTTTTCACAGATAGAAAACAAAAGGAGCCGACTCTGAATCTGTTCCTACTGGCTGAGCTGAATCCGCGGGACAGCGGTCATGAGAAATGGGACCCACCCCTCTGCACAGTCTGGTCAACAAACCAGGAGTGGAAGTCTTCTTCAAACGCTTTGACCTCATACAGCTGTAAATCTCCACTTCCCAGCAGGTACAGAGAGGCTCCATCTGCAGGGGAAAGGGGAACCGTGTCACTTTCACTTCTGCAGGTCACAAGGGTAGAAATATGTCAAAGCTCTTGGGAAACATGCAGAGACTTTGCTGAGATATGACAACTGTGTAGCTGAAGCTCGCGCTTACACATGCACTTTACTGATCAGTTCATCATAAAGTCAACATGCACAGAGTAAGGTGGTAAAAACTGAGTCTCAGGCAAGTTTTACTACCGATTACCAAAAAGAAGTGACATTTGATTTTGTACTTTGTCAAAGTTTGACTTCAAACTAGCAAAGGTACCATATTTTCCACACCATAAGGCGCTAATAAAAACCTTTGATCTTCCCCTGAACCGGCAGTGCGCCTTTTAATACGGATGTGCCTTTTATACATGTATTAAGGTAACTCTGGCCCAGCGCGGTACCCCCCAGCGCCGTCCTTATCACCCTCACCAAATAAAAGGTGTGGCACTGCTCCACACAGCTATACCGGTAACCAGCCATGGCACCAGCAAAGAGACACGCTTATGAGGCAGAGTTCAAGCTCAAAGCCATCGCTCACGCCGTTGAGCATGGAAACATAGCAGCAGCGAGAATACAAGATTAACGAGTCGATGGTCCGCAAGTGGAGAAAGCTGGAAGACCAGCTGCTGCAGGTGAAGAAAACACAGCGTAGCTTCAGAGGCAACAAGGCAAGATGGCCGCTGCTTGAAGACCGAGTTGAGCAGTGGGTCGCAGAGCAGCGAGTGGCGAGCAGAAGCGTCTCATTCGTCTCAAAGCTGCAGCATTAGCACGAGAGATGGACATTGGGGACTTCATAGGAGGCCCTTCCTGGTGTTTTCGCTTCATGCGGAGGCGAGCGCTTTCTATCCGCACCAGAACTACCGTCTCGCAGCAACTACCCGCCGACTACGCTGAGAAGCTAGAGTTGTTCCGCTCCTATTGCACCAAGAAGATGGCAGACAAAAACATCCAGCCCCAGCACATCACCAACATGGACGAGGTCCTGCTTACCTTCGACATCCTGGTGAACTGGACCGTGGAGAAAATGGGGACCAGCACGGTGTCTGTGCGGACGACCGGCCACGAGAAGTCGTGCTCACCTGCCAGGCTGATGGCCAGAAGCTGCCGCTGATGGTCATCTTAAAGCGGAAAACTTTACCCAAAGAAAAGTTTCCCGCCGGCGTGATCATCAAGGCGAACCCGAAGGGCTGGATGGATGAGGACATGATGGCGGCGTGGCGGCGGGAGGTGTACCCCAAAAGACAGGACGGCTTCTTCCACACTTATCCAGGCATGCTGATCTGCGACTCCGTGCAGGCCCATCTCACCGACGCCGTTAAAATCCAGGTGAAGAGAGTTTAAATCTTCATTCTTGCTGCTAAAAGCACCCGTGCATTAAATTGGGACATTTATGTTACTTTAATAAGGAGAAATTTATTTTTTAGTATAGACAATGAGTGGAGTAACGTTTGACTTTGATCTAAGTGCCCAATTTGCCTCAACTGTGCCGACCGGGACGCTCGTTTGCTTTGCGGGGTGCGTGTTTTGATCCAGTGAGCCTTATGTGACGACCAAACCTTTAACTAGGACGCTGATTGGCTGTGCGCCGTATAATCAGGTGAGCCTTATGGTGCGGAAAATACGGTATTTTAAAAAGGTTAGGGGAACATCAGTTTGTAGTGCACTAGAGATCAAGTCTAATCAGTTTAAAAGAGAAACTGAAAACACATTTTATGCTCCTGCAGGGGTGGACCTTTAAAGCGCCCGAGCGCCAATGGCGCTAAATTTTCTCGTCGGGCGGTAAATACTTGACGACTTACCGCCTGGGTGGCGCCCAAGCCTTATTTGTCATTTACACACCGGCTTTCACCTACATCATGGCCCCGCCCTGTAGGAAGCTGCCGTTTTCGTTTCGCGCGCGTGAACCTGCGCGCCTCTAGCCACGTGCTGCACTTGTACGATTCGTGCACGTACTGCACATTCTAGTTATAGTCACGTGAACTATAAGTTCACTATTAAAGACGAAGTGGAACCACGCTAGAAACACACAAGCACGCAGGGAGATCGCGCCACCACAGGGATGGGATTTCTTGATGAAATCTCCGGCAAAACGCTTTAAAACTGGTGAGGAGAAGCGAGACAGTTCAAAACGGTATGAAGCAGAGAAGCGTGTGCGTAGGTGGAATGATTCTTGGCGGTTTAAAGAAGACTGGAGGCGCAGAGAATGGCCGTGTTCGAGTTGAGCAGCGCCTCGCCTGGAAAACAGGCGAGAGAAGACAAAGCAGCGGGGGGAGTGGCTGAAAGCCGGCGTTTCGCCCGGGACACCAGCCGCGGAAGCGCCCAAAGCGCCGAGAAGCGAATTGCTCACGAAATCCGGCCGCTCCTCAGTTCAGATCAGACGCGCCCCATTCGAGACGCGCCTCGGCTCAGCTGTAGTTTTCTCAGCTCTTTTCCTCTACGTGTGTGTGTGAGAGAGAGAGAGCGAGAGAGAGAGAGAACCAGTTGTTTCTGCCAGTTGAATCTCTTGGATTTTCCTGCATGTGTAGCTCGGGGGTGACGATGGCTGAAGATATTGTGTTAGCGTTCACACTTGTTCAATTTTCAATTTTAATTCTGGTGCCTGTTAGCAGCTGAAACTCATCCTCACGTGCTTGTGGATATCATATATTGTATATGAAGACATGACTGTAAGTAAAGGTTAGCAGCTGTAGGTTCAGTGTGCTCATAGGAAACGTGACAAAAGAAAACAAAACACATTTCTCTTTATGGCCTATACGTGATTTACAGAATACATGTGACCGACTAACATTTCATGTTCTACCACCGGATGTTTGGATCAAAATATGAACCAATCAGATCTTAGATCAGGTGAGAGCCAGGCGTTTCCCGTCATCATCTAGGTTTTGCAGCCGAGGGAGAGCAACTGCAGCGCCTTGCTCCAAAATCTGCGGCCGCCTTGATCTCACGAGGTTATCGTTGCCTACGTATGCATGAAGTCAGAGCAAGTCGGCGTCAATTCAGACACGAATCTAACCGGCATGCACTGCTCGCCGATCACCGCTGGTCTAATCTGCACAGAACTGGCTCATCTCGAACACGGCCTATGGCTCGAATACAGCAAAGCGGAGTTGGTGATGTACTGCGTTGTATGCCGGAAGTATGCAACGATAAAATCGAGTTTTGTTGAGGGAACAAACAAATTCAAACTTGAATACGTTATTATGTTTGTGAATGTGTACAAAATAAAGGTTTATTACATTTAAAACGGTTCAGTTGTTATTTTGACTCGTTTTGGCAGCTGACCTGCGGGGCCGGTAGATTCTTGGCGGGGCCGGTAAATATTCAGAGTTACCGGCCCGGCTGGCCGGTTGGTTTTGAAGTTAATGTCCACCCCTGTCCTGAATAAGTACCGCTACATCGTATCAGCAGCTTATCTGTGGGACATTTTTTCTGAGTGGAAAAATATCAGCAATAAGTCCAGAGGGAAGGCATTCCGTATCTAGATTTGTTTTTGTCATCACTGATGAATAATTTTAAAATCTCAGGGTTAGAGTAATGCAAAACCCAAACTTCATCTTCTTCTCATTATAGAAACTACTACTACAGCAGATCACTGGGATATTGGGATCAATCAGTCATAAAAAAGTACAAAATCTACAATCTAAGCTATAATTCTATATTGTTTAAGTGTCTTGTCCGTTTATGAAAATTTCATGTTTATAAACTAAAAGGAAACAACCCTTTTATGTAAATACACAACTGGTTTTAAATAAAGTTAAACCTGTGGAGGGATTCTTGAGACTGACGAAAGCTGGATCACTCTCGTGCTTCTGTGTGTTTGTGACGGACTCTGTGGAGGACAACGAGAAGTAAAAACATTAAACAAACAACTTATAAATGTTTTATTTTTATAAATGTGATCAAATGCTGCCACACATGCCTGTGAACACTCAAACTAATTTGTGCAAATAAAAAAGTTAATGTTTTTAATATATAATTTGTGTATGTTTTAGGGGGCGATTGTATTTGTAATTTCATAGATTTAAACTACAAAGGATCTAGCATTTTACAAATGCTGCAACAAGAAATTCATCTTGAACTACATTGGGACGGGCAAGTGATGACAAATTAAAAGGACTAAAAAGTTGTAAATACAATTAACACATAATTAAAATCCTAATCAGAAATCTGGGTGTGCAAATTTGCCACTACTAGCAGAACTTCCTTGTTTACAGTGTTTGATGCGTTTTTCCTGGAAAATGTCACATTAAAATAAAATAAAATAAAATAAAATAACCCATGCTGAACAATTACAGAATCCTTTATCTTTTACGTTTTATCAAATGAATTAAGTTTCCGGGTTTCCGTCTGAATAAAAGACAAGCTACCGAATGCTATTGTAAAAGGGCTATCATCCGTTATCGTTTTTAGCATCCTAGCACAGAACAGCCCAGTTAAACTTACCTGCAGCAACAACAACCCAGCTGTCGTTCTGTGTGTTCGGTGTTCGCTTCTTCTTAGCAGCCATGCTGAAAAAATACACTTAAAAATAAGACTTTATGCTGCTGCGCCTTGTTTTTGTTGTAAACTAGCCCGTTTGGGACGCAAACATTAGCAAGCCTATCAGGCTACATAGCGTAGCTCCTTTTTTGCACGACAACGTGAGCTCAGAAAAGGCGCCTCTGCGCGGTTCCACTTCATCCGTCAAATAGACCAGTTTAAAGAGAGTCTATAAAGGTTTTTACGACCACGGTTCTCTTAAAAACAAAGTTAATGTATATTGAGTGGTTTTATATGAACAAATAATCAAAATGTACAATAACAATCCTGTTTTAGCCTTTGTAATTTAGCGGACCCCCCCCCCCACACACACACACACTTTATCATAGTAGTACGGTCCAAATTTACGTCAATCCACCGTGCAGGTTCTCCACATGCCCGCTAGAGGTCGCTTGAGACCTTTAATTTTAACAACTGGACTCATTCAGGCCTTTTCTGTGCTGATTTCTTGTCACAAACGAAACTGGTTAATCTGAACCGGGCTGGGATTAAAGTCTGTGCTCTAAGGTGCAAGATGTTTGGTGACCAGTTGTCATTTGGCACACTGCTGCATAACAGATTGGGAGATCCATCTGTGCTTCAATAAGAGGAGGGCATCTTTCACTTTCTCTCTCAGGATGTGACATGGTGTGTCCCAGTTGGTTTTCAGTGACTCATTTGTTTTTTGTTGGGTTTTTTTTCCTCCTGTTTTTTCCTTCCTGCTCTGTTAATCTGCACGCTCAAATAGGGATGTGTAGGATGCTTGTGTGTGTGGTTTCAACTCTTTAATTTGACTGTGTAATCATTTTGTTTAGTTCTACCTTCATATGTTTTTATGGCTGTTAATTTTTCTCATTTCTCTCACACCATTAACAGCTTTTTAATTAGCTCGTTTTACTAACGAGACAGGGAGAGATTTGTGATCCCTGTCTCTGTCGGAGACTATTATGTAGTAGGGAGAAAATTAAGACGTGCACACGATGACTTGTGTTTCGCACACATGCTCATTTTCATGTCATCTACCACATTTTTCACTCTATTCAGAAATTAGATTTCTCAAGATCTAAGCAGCGCATGTTCTTTGAACGCTGCATCGGCTCCTCCTTGAAATCAGTGCAATTTAGGTTTCTCTGTAGCAAAATAAGAGCATGGGTGAGACGTTATCTGTGAATTACTTGTTTCATGAGTCCAGGGGGAATCATACTCGACCGTCTGTGGAGTTAAACAGACTAGTCCATGAAAGCCTTTCTTTCATTTTGGGCTGTTTGAGGGATCGTCTGCGTTTCAGACGGCACGGCAGAACAACAGCGTCCTTTCTAGAACACTGGACCACAGACGAGCTCCAGAGAGCCCATTTCTCTGACATTGGCATGCAAGAACAAAGTGGATCTAAATTTAAGTTCATGGTTTGGACCTCCAGCGTGAGACCCTCTCCAGAGTCTTATTCCATAGTCCTCATCAATCTTGCATCCAATGAAAACTAATGTTTCATCACTCACACACACACACAAATACAAAGGAGCTGTGTGTTTCTTTGAACGTTCTTCCTTTTAAATTCAAGGTGAGCATAATAAACATTCATCTGGAGAGTGTCCTGATCACACGTCCCAACGTTCAGCTATGATCTCATTTGTGGCCGGCTGCAGCTTTAGGTATTGACTCGTGCGTGAGCGTTCACGTCCCTGTGTGTTACCCTATCGGCAAAATCTTCCGCAAATTCAATATCCAGTTTCACTGCTTCGCGGATGACACCCAGCTCTACATTTCCAGTAAGCCCAACTCAACTCTCCCACCATCCTCCCTTACACTCTGCCTCTCAGAAATCAAATCATGGTTCACCTCTTATTTCCTCAAACTCAACGGCAATAAAACTGAACTTCTAGTTGGCACTAAATCCACCCTCTCAAAATCTGACAGCTTTTCTTTTACTATTGACAGCGCCATAGTCTCCCCCTCCCCTCACGTCAAGAGTCTGGGTGTCATCCTCGACAGCTCACTTTCTTTTCAAGCTCACATTAATAACATAATTCAGTCAGCATACTTCCATACGTTCCATAAACCGTCTTCGCCCCTCCCTTACCCCTCACACTGCCGCCATTCTCGTCCACAGCCTCGTCACCTCCCGTATCGACTATTGCAATTCACTTCTTTATGGTCTCCCCAACAAACTCCTTCATAAACTGCAACTGGTCCAGAATTCAGCAGCCCGTATTATCACCAGAACCCCTTCCTTTCACCACATCACCCCGGTTCTCCAACAGCTTCACTGGCTCCCAGTTAAATTCAGGTCCATCTTCAAAATTCTCCTCCATACCTTCAAAGCAATCCACAACCTCTCTCCTCCATATATCTCAGACCTTATAAGCATTCACACCCCATCCCGTTCTCTCAGATCTTCTTCTTCCATCCATCTTGCGGTTCCTTCTGCCCGTCTCGCTACCATGGGGAGCAGAGCTTTCAGCCGCTCTGCTCCTCGTCTCTGGAACTCACTTCCCCCAGAAATAAGGACACCGACAGTTTTACCCTTTTCAAAACAAAACTCAAAACACATATGTTTAAATCTGCCTACTTGTTTGGGTTTTATTATTGTTTTATTGTATTTTATTAAGTGTTTTCTGTCAAGTGACCTTGGGTGTTCTGAAAGGCGCTTTTAAATAAAATGTATCATTATTATTATTATTATTATTATTATTATTATTATTATTATTATTATTATTATTATTATTACAGAGGGGAGGTTTACACTGCTGTTATAAAAAAAGTATTTGCCCTCGTTTGCTTTTGTTGTTTTGTCACACTTCAATTTTGAGTAAATTAAAAATCTTATTTTCAACTAGTAAACTAGTTTAGAAGGAGAAAAAGCTTTCCAAACCAACCTGGTCCTGTGTGAAAAAGTTTTTGATCACTCAATCTAATAACTGGTGAGAACGCTCGTGAAAGCAAGACCTCTGAAGGATGTTTGTCCCACTCTTCTTCACAGAATAGTTTTAATTTGATCACATTGGAAGACTTTTCCAGTGTTTTCTGTTCTTCTTCCTGTCTCGTTCTACATCGCTCGGGTGTCATTCTGGGTTCCTTTATGCTTGAATTTTCTTACGAGGCACCATGTGTTGCTTTCTGCGATCTTTCAACCTGTGTCATGATGTCAGCCAGGTTCTTTTGAAGTAACATCTTAATTCTACAGTTCTGGTGCTAAAGTTAAAAGTTAAAGTCCCATTAGTTGTCACACACACTGATGTGTGTGCGAAATTTGCTCTCCGCATTCGACCCATCCCCCGGGGGAGCGGTGAGCTGCAGACACAGCCGCGCTCGGGAACCATTTGGTGGTTTAACCCCCCCAATCCAACCCCTTAATGCCGAGTGTCAAGCAGGGAGGCATTGGGTCCCATTTTTTCAAAGTCTTTGGTATGACCCGATGAGGAATCGAACCCTGATCTCCCAGTCTCAGGGCAGACACTCTACCACTAGGCCACTGAGCTGCTAATTAGGCCTGTGGTTTGTAATGATCATGTTGAGGGGGATGGATATGTGACAAGGGTGCCTTTGGTAGCGTTTGACTGCATTTTGCTTTAGCTCAGATCATCTTTGTTCATTATTAAGTTACTGGCTGATCTAAAACATTTTAGTGTGACCCACAAACAAGTCAAAAACAAGAAATCTGTAAAAGAAGTAGCTCTCCGTCAACTCCTCATCATTCGGACTGAGAGTTTCTAGAGGATAAAGGACGGTTTTTGTCTGATGCTGCTGCCAGGAGAAATTGAATATAAATAGAAACAGCGTCACTTAATCACGCTCATGCAAGAGCTATTGTTTCATTCTTCTGTCAAAGCCACGTTATCATTTTGGACTCGGCACGGGTGAAACGTCCTTTTGACAGATGGAGGATGCTCACACCGACGTCCTCACAGCAGAGGGAAACAGATGTGCGGAGAGTTTCCCGCTGCAGCAGCATCTGAGTCATCATCTGGGATTCCCTTCCTCTCGCTTCCAAACATGGGTGGGATTGTGCGAACAAGAGAGGAAGAATGTAGAAGGCAGTGGAACCCCCACACACACCGCCACCTTCCCATGTGATGTCAGAGGATCAGTGAACCCCACGCTGCCTGGAAATTCACAGGACGGAATGCCGGGAATGCTGGAAAAGCTGAAATGCTATTCACTCAGGCATGTTTAACATTTGAGCTTTAGCGCACGTCTGCAGTGCACACACACACACACACACACACACACACACACACTCACGTAGAGTGTTTTGCCAGTCTTCTCACTGGGGAGATTTCTCTTCCAGTAAAGTCTCTTCTATGATGGTGAGTCCTTGTTCCCAGCATCAGGTGCTTCGTGTGAGGCCCCTGGACAAATGTGGGGTTTTCCCTCTGCCTGTGTGAGCATTGTTTAATGGTTTGACCATTAACTGTTTCATAGAGTCTTAGGAGCATGCATCTCTCTGATAATAATCAATGAAAATAAAAAGAAATCCACATTTTAATGCTCTTTGAAACTGTAATGAAAAAGTCACATATGAGGAATTGTATTTTATATATCCATATTAAATAAATTAAAAAATCTGTCAGCTTAAAAAGTTTAGAATCTACTAAAATTAAGTCTATGTTTTGAGTTTTGTGTCAGTAATAAATTAAATTGGAGCTGCAGGAAGAAAAGGTGCCCATATCTAAAAAAAAATGTAAAACACATTCAACCGGAAACCTAAAGGAAGACCCAGGACACATTGGAGGGACTAGGTCTCTCGCCTGGCCAGGGAACGCCTTGGGTTTCCCCCAGAAGAACTGGCCCAAGTGGCTGGGTAGAGGGAAGTCTGGGCTTCCTGACTTAGGCTGTTCCCCCATGACCCGACTCCAGAGTAGCGGAAGAGAATGGATGGATGGATAGATGGATGGATGGATGGATGGATGGATGGATGGATGGATGTTTTTCTCCTCAGAAGAAGCTACAATGGTGTTCTGCTGAGCTGTGGTAGCCTCGTGGAGAGGGCCATCTGCTGTCAACAACTTAACATTCTCCCTCTTCTGATAATAACAATTTACTTTATTTGGCATGGAATGTGCTACTACACATTTACCTATTCAATTATTTTGAGATTCACTAAGATAAAGACAGTAAAGTTTATCTATATTAGAATATATACTAAGAAATCACGATGTGGCCATAGAAATACTACTTGGTATAAATGGTTGTTGTTGTTGTGTGTGTGTGTGTGTGTGTGTGTGTGTGTGTGTGTGTGTGTGTGTGTGTGTGTGTGTGTGTGGTGTGTGTGTGTGTGTGTGTGTGTGTGGTGTGTGTGTGTGTGTGTGTGTGTGTGTGTCTGTGTGTGTGTGTGCGTGCGTG